TTAATCGAATATCAACTATGCAACCTGCATCCTTGAGAGCAGACCAAGCTTTCCCCCTTGGAATTGATGAGTGAATTGATGATAAGCAGCAGACAGTGACTTTTAACACTCTACCAGAGGATGTGGATGCTTTCTTCTTCCTGAACTTGTCAGGGACTATATCAATGAGTTCATCTTTGGGATCAAATGACTCTCTTTTTCTTGAAGTTTGTTGAAAACAGCTCAAACTTTACATAGCATAAAGACAACATTATACATCATAAAATTTAATGAAAATTTTACTAAATCTAGTACATTCAGTCCTACTGACATCTGCAATAATGATAGACTGGATTAATATCATTAGAACACATGGTATAGTCTCTTGTCTAGTAGAAGTCATCATGACATTCAATAATGAGCCCGTTACTTCCATTGCATCTGATACTCTTAGAATGATATACTGTCTCACATCCTGACAGCACTCTATTACATAGAAACATTGAATATTTAAAAAATTTGGGGTGATTCTGGAGCCATTAAAAAAACCATGGGCTATAGCCTTGGGTATCTCACAGAAATTGGCTCATTTTTAAAATAGCTATAATGCAAACAGCTCAAACTTTAGATAGCATAAAGACAGCAATATGCATCATAAAATGTAATGAAAATTTTGCTAAATCTAGTACATTCAGTCCTACTGACATCTGCAATAATGATAGACTGGATTAATATCATTAGAACACATGGTATAGTCTCTTGTCTAGTAGAAGTTATCATGACATTCAATAATGAGCCCGTTACTTCCATTGCATCTGATACTCTTAAAATGATATACTGTCTCACATCCTGACAGCACTCTATTACATAGAAACATTGAATATGTAAAGTCAAAGAGTTTCCACTTACCATGATTGCAGCATTCAGTACTATTAATGCAAATAACTTCTACAAAAAAGAAATCCAATTAAGGCCACTCCAATTGATGCGTTTGGAGATATTTGCTAAATTGAGCAAACAGCAGTCATTATTATTATTATTATTAATGAATTGTTTTTAAATTAATGGTGCCCAGTTAATTAACATGCTTTATTTTGTTAATTATATTCCATTACTAAAGTCCACCTCATTTCCTTCCACCACAACGTTCAAAACAGACTTGTTACAGATTTCTTCTACTGACGTGACGTCAACGAACCTTCCTCCCCACCCTTCGTGTTTTATCTGAAAGAACATCTCATGCTTAGGGCACAAATTGCCAAAAACTCTTCTCTCCTCTGCTTATCAAATTACCAGAGAAACTAATTTCACGACGATGGTCTGAATTTGAAAGGCAGACAAGGACAGATTCTTTTAGTCTACAAACAAGATCCTAGTATCTCTCTGAATCCATAAAACATTATTTCTTTCATCATTTAATGCTAGTTTAAGCCCCCTGGCCCCCATACCATATTAAATGTACCCGAACCCTATCCTGGACCTGTTTTTGGCTAAGTTCACTTTTACATTTGTAGATAAAGTTCCTGCATTTGGATAGTTTTGGGGTTACGCCCTTGTCTATATCATTTTGGAAGTATTCTTGAATTTGCTTCCTTATCCGAACCCTTTTGGTAGCTAATATACATTTTTTAAAAATTTGATACAAATTTTGGATTACTTGGTGTAAGAATGTCCCCCTCATCATCTTCGTCATCGTCACTGGGCTCGCTCTCTCAAAAACTTTAATGACACAAAAACGTTTTTCCTCCAATTGTCCCACTACGCTCGCTCTGACCACTAATCTGAATGGTATCAGTAATAGTACATACATGTACATAGCAGTGTCACCTGTATATATCCCTCTGAAGCCTCCCTAAATGTTGAATTAAGAGGCTGTTGGTACAATTCCTTTTCGTAGGTAACTTGTTTAATGATAAACGATAAACCTATTCCTGGACTAGCATTACTTGTTCTATTTGTATCGAACTCATCCTCTCCTACCAGCAGTAGATGTACATAAGTTGGAAGGAGTTATTCATGATAATTAATGGATGAGATATGGGATGCACTTTAAAAGGAGTGGATTCATGGTAGCCTAGTACATAGCCTAATAAAAGGCCAGAGCAAAGGACAGTACACTTAAGCATATTCTGGAGAAGCAACATCAATGATTCAGGAAAGGCCATAGTCAGCTGATTACCTATTTAAAAGCATAATCCCAGCCTCCAGTAAATTCACAACAATGGCTGGTTGTCTGAGCTCCTCCACGCCATGTCATCACTTTGCTATAGTGGGTCCTGTATTGACTGTTTCAGGCATTGGCAAGCCCATTGATATGTTCCGCTATATGGTCTCTTTTTCTTTATACATAATTGCACCCATAGCACTGATGAGATGCTGCCCTTTTTAATTTTTGAATTTTTTGAAACATGGTCTTCTTTGTGTGCTATAATCACGAAATTTGCTTGTGAATACAATTAAAACAAAAAATAATAATTGTGTATTTAACAATAAAAAATAACATTCTTTGCATTGTACTATTACCATGGTAGTAACTTGCTTTTATTATTTGTTTTAGGCAGCAAAGCAGGGAACAGCAGATACGCTTGGGATGAAAGCTGGTGCTGGACGAGCTAGCTACGTACACTCAAGTCAACTCACACAAGTTGATCCTGGAGCCAGGGCTGTTGATATATGGCTAGAGGCTATTTTAACTGCATTAAGTGACTAGTAAATTCATTATTATATTAATTTTTGGAATGCATTTGTATGTATAGAGTGTTATTTTGAATACCAGGTTTTTATAAATTTCAGTTAAATTTTTTCTAATTTCCAAATTAGCAGAAATTTTGGGCCACAAAAATTTTAATTGTGGTACTCTTTTTTTATTACCTGTTACATTACTGTTATTGACTCTAATTATGAGATTTTAGCATTATAAAGTTACTGAAATGAGAGGAAAAATACAGAATAGAAATAAAGTAACATTTACAGATTTGTTAGTGTCATGTTGGTAGATTCCCTAGGTAAGCAGTGCGTCTGTATAAGTGAACATGTAACACTAGATTTACGCCATATTGTTGTTGTGACAACAACGGAGCATAAGCATCGATACTCCAATGACCCATTGAAAGTTGTGAGACTCAGACTAGCTGCTACTGGATTTATCTCATTCCCATACTCTGAAACGATGCATTGAACAGTTCCTTGCAAATGCAAGGAGTGGGTCACGGCTACTGGGCTTGTTTTACAAGACCAGAATGTGGGAACGGCACTGCCATACTGTGGAGTAGTTGGTAATGTGCATGAAGTAAGATTTAGAAAGGTGCAATTGTCTGTCAAAGCTTCTTTGAAAGCATGTAGGTTGTTGAGAGTGACTGTTGATGGTGTAGTATCGTTAGTGCTGTCTGTTAATTCACTTTTACCCTGTGGTGGTGTAGCTTCCATGTTACTGAAGTTTGATAGCAAATCAAAGATGAGTGTAATGTTTTTGTCAATTCCTAGTGTTATCCTGTTCTCAATGTCTATAAGGTCCTGTCTTTGTCTTGCAATGAGCTCTTCACTTTCATCAAATGCTATGCTTATGTTTCTTGCTGTATCCTCTTGGATTTTTTTAACAGTCTTCCTCAAAGCGTCAAGTTCATCCATGAGCTCTAAAACTTTATTGATGATCATTACATCAGCAGAGCCCGATTCTGTATCATTTATATCTGCAGCAGAAACTGTAGAGTCATTTACAATACACTTGCAAGGACTTGGGATGTCAGGAGACTCAGCCTCAGGACTAGTTTGAATTACTACTATAGCATAGACACTGCACACCAGAGCAATTGTGCTAAAGGTGATATTTATGCAGATGCATATCAAAATGATAAGTTCTTTATTTCTTTTATTAGGCTCCTTTTCCTTCCTTTTCTCAATGGCTTTCTCCAGCTCCATAAGTTGTTTGCGTGGGTGTATGTGTTTTTCGGCCCCGCCCATTATCACGTGGGCGTTCAAACCAGCTAGCAGTTAAGTATGGCGGTGCATGCATTACAGTACATTTAGAATGATTATCTTTGCATTGATTCTCTTTCACAACATGATGGTTTTGATCAATGACAGCTCCAATGGTGAAACCATTAGCTGCAGTGTTACTGACTAATGTAAAGAATTACTGAAGTACAAACTGCTCACTCATTAGTTATATAAATCACGGCCAGTACTGAGACTGGCAGACACGATGTCTATTGTGTAATGATACCAATGAACATGAACATTATTATAAATATTGTGAGCTGCCCAATAAGATTAAAGGGAAAAGAAATACTAAATCTCATTATTAAAAATGGTATAAAAAAGAAAAAGGACTTTATAAAATGGCCTAAAAACAAAATCATTGATAGAAATAATAATGAAAGAGTAGCTACCAAAAACACTGCACCTCTACTAAAATAATAGCCATTAATCTGACAGTACTAAAGAAAAATTGTGATTCAATTATCAGTTGGGATATTTTTTCCTAATTTTTATTTCATTACCAAGAGGAGGCAAATCAATATCAATTTTATTATTATTTATGTCGATATTAATTTTCACAACTGTATTATGTGACTCAGTCCAACCATTGAAGTTCCCCTTCAGTGCACTAGTCACATATATTGGCTTTTTAGTATTCATATTTAAAGGCCGGTATTGACGATTGCCAATATGATAAAAGCAAGTATAAGGATGTGGAGGTACATTATTTGGTAATTTTGAACGATAGTACTTAGCTATTTCACATCTTGGATGCCCATACATGTATCCACTGCTTGAGAAGACATACCTTGCCTTGACAGCAATTAAAAACTGTTTCTGATTAGCTTTACCATTATAAGCACCATGATGACTGAGCTTGTAAATATCAGAGCCAAGATCAGGTGCTGCTACTCGTAAAAATTGTGTCATAAGGTTCGGAGTTAGTTCAAAGTCTCCAGTGATTAGTGCAGAGGTTTGACCATAGGTTATCTTAACAATAAGAGAGTCTTCATTATTAGCTATATTACCAGCACACTCTCTAACAGCAGAGGCAACAAAAAATAGCTTGACACTATTAACAGCATTCGTATTAGGCTGATAATTAGGACAGAGGTTGAGGACTGGAAACACTCTATGACAACTTTGAATATTGAAACAACGAGGTACAATTTGAGGGACAGCATTTGGGCTGCTTATATAACAGCCATACTTATTCCAACTGCAAGAATGGAATACAGAAACTTCATGATCTTGAGACATTAATATATCATCCATATAATTCAAATGGTCAGCATCAGCATGAGTGAGGAATACATAATAAAGTTTAGCCCCTTCAAGATAGTCCTTAATGTCTTGTCCATTAATGCCTAAATCTTTTGTACTGGATCCAGCATCAATAATACTGACAGTTCCTTTAACAGGATCATTTGCACCTCTAGGGCACTGTATTACAGTACAGTCACCCTGACCTACTGGTAGGGCATAAATGTGTAGCTTATCATCTGCATTAGGTATAGACACTGCTGCTTCGAGCAACAAAGAAAGAGTGACAATAACATTCACCTTCATGTTACAAATGATAGTTTTATTGTACAGATATAAAGGTGAGGATCTCTGCAATGAAGAGTCTACAGTATTGCTGTCTTTATATAAGAACTGGTGTGAGTTCAACGATCTGTGGCGTCTCCCTTTACTGTTTCCTTAAAATAGCATTGCACAAACACACTATTACATCACACTCTTTAATAATGGAAACATTGAAATTAAAACTTAAGCTAATGTCAATAACAAGCCTATGAAGGAAAGGCAATAAAAGCAGATAAACAACTTTATGATGTACATGTGATAAAGTTTTGATAAAATTTTGTTTTACCAGTCAAAATTGTTCCACTACCTTTTGTCCTGCTCAACATTTTTTGTCCTACCTTTCTAGGATAAAAATTAGTTGCAAAAATATCTCCTGGGTTTAAATTTAGCAGTCTGGGTTTATTTCCAGGTTTAAATTAGCAGTACTTGAAAATTTGTGTTAAGTTTAATCAAACATTTGCATGCAGAATCTTGAAGGATGGAACATTTTGCCTTCTACAATCTTTTACTGTTTTAAAATTGTAGAGTCACATTAAATGTATAAACAAAAATTAAGTAAGTTAAGTAAGATAGAGTGCATAGCAGCACTGCAGCCCCACACATCAAAGGAATGAGCTGCCCACACAATTGATGGCAAATGGTCTACTCATGGGTTGAAGCAATTTTGGAAAAAAGCTAGACTAGTGAGATTTGCTGCACATATTATAATAACATGTGAATTTGCATGATTCAGCGCAATCAGCAAGCAAAATCAGCTCTATGTGGTGTGTGCATGAACACTTAAGACAGCAATCACAGCATAAACTATCACATTCCAGTACATTTAGGATGATTATCTTTGCATTGATTATCTTTCACAACATGATGGTCTTGATCAATGACAGCTCCAATGATTTGACCACTAGCAGCAGTGTTACTCTAGAGAATTAAGTACAAAATATGTTAGCTCACTTTATAAATAAACTTACTATTAGCTGATTATCAATGACATTAAATAACTTGAAATAAGCTAAATATCCACTGCTACCTCCGGAGAGATCATTTTTATACCAGAGATTTCTTAGCCCATCATTTCCATTAGATGCTTGATGAAGGATCCCTTCTCCATCCACTGTGAGGTAGCCTGAATCGGCTGCTTTCTGCCTGTTTATGTGTCCAGTATTCATTGTTAGATTATTAGCATAGCCTTGCTGATTGTATCCACGATTCTCATTAGTGTCGTGACCAGTTGCTTTATGGGATCCTGACACAGACCAGCAAGTAGTGCCTGATGCAACTTCAACGTGATTGTTATACAACTGTGCTCCTGATCCTACTGTTTTACCATCCCCACCTCCACTCCAGCTAACACCAACACGTCCATTCATGTACACATAGTTGTCTCTGATGACTAATCCTTTCCTAAAGTACCATGGAGCACAAGATGGGGTGAGAGTGCCAGGCTGAGATGGACATTTATGGCCATAAT